ATTTTTATAATTGTAAGTAAAAATTAAATAATGTAATTATTTTAACAAAATGTAATCTAAATATTTAACTCATCATTGTAGTTTTTGCAAATATTATAGCCAAACACACTGATGGTATTCTTTCTACAATGGAAATAAAATATTATTCTGATGTTGGAAAAGTTAAGGCTACACACTCTAAAATTAATGTCAATATCAGTTATAACCATTATATAATTTTAGGACTGTAGAACATCTAATCCCCATGTTGTGGAGAATAGGGAGGAATTAGTTTAGACAACAGGTATTTTTCTTTACTTGCAGGGCCTTTAAAGGGATCAAACACAGTGAAATGTGCCGCAGAGATGTACTGCATATTTTTCTTTATTTTGGCCCGACATAAATATTAAAGCATGTGCAAAACAAGATTAATAAACTGTTACATACCTGTTTAATTTCCTCAAATGTTAAAGGATATGTACTTTTAATCGGTCCATATGATGACAAAATGTCAAGTGCTTCCAGGACAGTTTTAACCTGTGGAAATGATAAAGAAAACTTATGTTATTACATTTATATGTAAACCTAACCCCAAGAAACAGGCAGCCAATGTACTGGAGTCTTTGTCAGTGTAGCACAATTACTCAAAAGGGAAAAAAATAAGCGTATACTTTACGATTATTCATTAAAGTGACATTAAAGTCAAAGTTTTTTTTGCCCCTTCCCAATCCTGTTTGTAGGGACTTACTTTAAATGATGTCTCTTAATCAGATCTTCTTCTTCCTGTCCTTTTCAGCTGTCCCTCCAGCGCTGGTGCGGATCTCCGATCCAGCGCTGATTCCTCTGTCCTCCTCTTCTCTCATGTCCCACGGTGTCTGTGCGGTTGCACGCTGCTCCATAGACTTAGCTTGCGTCTCTCCTCAACTCCCGGCCAAACATCCGAAGTGCGTATGCGCCCGCCCCAAGATCCTTTGCGGCCACCTGAGACTCTTCAGATGTTCGGACGGGAGCGCGCGGGGGAAGACACAAGGTAAGTTTAATCCCTTTTTAAAAGGTTTTTTTTTTTGCTAGCAGTAGATATATGCAAAAACACGCAAGGGTTTAATAACCCTTTAAAGTGACCCTTCATTTTTTAATGAAAACTTTGCGGCAGTAGAGAATAATAAACATAGTAAGATCAGTTAGGGTCTGGAACTCACTGCCACAGGCGGTGATTTCAGCAAATAATGTGGAATTGTTCAAGAAACTTTTGGACGATTTCTTAAGGGACCGTAATATACAGGGGTACGGGTACTCCTAGAATGAGATCCTAATAGGTTGGACTTGATGGACTAATGTCTTTATTCAACCTCAAATACTATGTAACTATGTAACTTGCATGTTTTCCCAGTTTTATAACCATATCCCAACTGACAATTCTAGTAAAAAATAGACAGTAGGGGGTGCTGTTCTGAATGGGCATTTAAAAATGTCCATCTGATTCCCATCAGTGGGTGTGTCCAGTGTACGTACATTGCATCTGCTCCCTTTGTCGTTAAACAGCAGAGAGATGTGGGAAAGAGCACAGCACAGGGCTGAACCAAGCAGCTCTGTCCCTTGTTATGGTTGTGGTGACCAATCACAGCGTTGTGTGGGCCCTCCCCTTACTGTCATGGAGTAGGGGTGGAAAGAGGAGGTGAGTTGTTCATTAATAACAAAAGATCACAGGCAGCAGCAGCATCAAGATATTACTTTGATGGTGAGATTGTTTATAGGCCTTTTACTACCCCCGCACTGCAAAAAGTTAACTGCTTGTTTGTCTAGGGAGCTAAAATAAGAGATATACTCACCCAAACCATGATCCTGGCTGTCTCCTAGACTAGTCCCTGCAGCCCCGCTCCCCCTCTGCTCCGGCAATCTAAGGTCCTGCGAGTCATCAAGTCCTATACATGTATAGGCCATAAAAATCCTGGAGGGACGTACCATCGCTGGAGAGGAGGAGAAGACAGGCTGAAGGGACCAATCTAAGAGCCAGCCGGGATCACGGTTCGGGTAAGTATATCTGTTATTTTAGCTGCCTAGGAAAAATTAGCACTTAAGCCTTTCAGTGCAAGTGGTGGCCCAACTGCAAGGGTTTACATTTTTATTTGCCTGGAGTTCTTCTTTAAACACTTGCTAACCGGGGTGTCATTTTTTTTCCACTTGCAGTGAAATTTGTTCCAGGATCCCAGCTTCACACATCTGCTGCCGCTGTGATTGATGTCATGGGCAATACAACAGAAGGGGTGGCAGGAGGAGAAGTGAAATATTGGTCTGGGGTGGCGTGACTATTTAAAGGCATTAGACTGTAATAGCACACAATATCAACCACCTCAATACCAGCATGATTTTTAATTTCCCCAAAAAGTGGCAAAATATTAGATTGCCTTGGGATAACTACTTTCCAAAAAGGAGTCATTCTTGTTTTAACAGAAAGGGATACCGATTCTTTAAAAAAAAATCTTTCTAGACAGCCCTCTTGCCTTTTATATTCTGTCCTGATTCCGCTATCTGACCTGTATGGCGTTCAGCTTCATATTCTCATCTAACTTATTTTGGCTACCGATTCTGATCTGGTTGGTCCATCTGTATTGACCTTGGCTTTTAATCCTGTTTGATCTTCTAAGCACAATTTCCTAGGCTTCCCAGCCAACAATTATAGTTATGGATTTAAGTCCTTTATTCGGGTGAGTTGATCGGATAAGAATAACTTTGTTACTTTCCTCCCTAGACCACAACAAGCACCTAACCCTTACAGTGCAGGGGTAGCCACATTGCAAGGGTTAATACAAAATGTCTCCAAAGCTCTGCTTTAAACCATCTTATGCTGGGCACACACCTTACAACCATCGCAAGACTTTTGTCTTGCGATGGTTGTAAGGTAATTTAAAAAACGTACGATCTGCCTATCTTGGACAGGCAGATCGTACTTGTGATGAACGCAAGCCCGCCCCGTTGATGGGCGGGCTTTCCGATGAACGCAATGCTGCACACCGGCCCGTGCGGCATTTATCTTACGAACATGCCAAACACCCGCCGACAATCGTACTATTCTCGGCCGGTTTTCGAACATGTTCCTAAGATAAAAGTCGTGCGACCTTACAGTAGTAGAGGTCGCACACCTTCCACACACCTTGCGTTAATCGTACGATCGAGGGATTTCCCGTGATTATCGTACGATTATCGCAAGGTGTGTGGGCACCTTAAAGCAGTTATCCCATAAATGGATTTACCGTTACTAGATAATACACTCAAAGATAAAAAAAAAAAAGAAAATGCTCTCACTTTTTCCATGTTTATTTCTCCATAAGCAAATTTGGGTGTTGTTGGTGGAATAGGACCTTCAGGGATTTTCTTATACTAAAGAAAATTAAAAAAAAGCATGGATTAATTACTGCTACTTTAACTATGCAAGTGCTTTATTAACATTGTGCAAGGTACTTAGGCAATAACGACCCACAGGCATGAGATGATACTTGCCTAATCCCACCAAAATCAGGCAGGTTGCATGACAAGCTTATGCCTATGGTTCCTAACCCAAGCCACTGGTCAGTTTTAAGAAGCGACAGTCAGTCATGCAAGCTAGAAAATTATTTCCACCCTCCCACTCCCAAGATGAGTGGCCCTGGCAGTGTTTGCCTGCATAGTCTACTTGCCGATGCCTTAATTTCATTCACGTACACAAGTATATTTACCCTGCCCTTTTTATGAATCCATTAAGACTAGACTGCTTAGGCTGGTTTGCAAAACTGACCATCCTTCGCTAACAAGCTCTGAGCACCTTAAAGAAAAAATTTGATTAACCCTTGCAGTATGGCTGCAAGGGTTAACTGCTCGTTTGAGTCTAGGTGCTAAATAAAGAAAAAAAAAGCTATATTTATAAAGTTATATTTACCCAATATTTCCGATATTATGAGGATCATTCCATCTATGCAGCAGAGCAGCGGACACTTCAGAAACTGGAGAAGCAGGGAGTCGGCACAGCAGTGCCGGTGGATATTTTTTTTTTAAAGCACCTAGACAAAAACGAGCATTTAACCCTTGCAGCGTGGGGGTAGCCCTACTACAAGGGTTATACATTTTTTCCCTGGAGTTCTTCTTTCAAAGCAACCATATATCAGCTTTTAGGATAACTAATTCAGACCAATAACTGACCTGTGATATAGCCGATATGGGCTACGCTACCTAACTCAATTTTACACATTGTTAGGAAACTTGTCAGTACAAAACACCAAAACAGACTGGCATATTTAATACAGACAAGATCCTTATGGGGAAGAAAAAAAAAGCACAACATACTTATTAAAAGAAAACCGATGACCTTATTTTAGAGATAAAAGTAGAAAATGGTTTCAGGCTTGTAGACCAGCAAAAGAGATGCCAGTGGATTTGGTACACAAATGTGAGGAATGATTAAACAACTTCTTTAAATATTGGTCAACTGGTCAACTGAAACAAGTGGAACTAAAATCACAAAGATCATGCACGAAACCCAGGTAACACCTTCTTTATAACTTCTCGAATGGCAAAATATTTATCTGTCAGATCTCCAGCTTCAGATAGCGGTGCATCATAATCGTAGCTTGTGGGTTGTGGTTCATATGGCGTGTTTGCACCTACAAGCAACAAAGCATTAAGTGTAAACACAAAAAAAAAAAACTAGACAGATAACTTGCTGTAAACTACAAAATGCGATACTTGGATTAATTCTAAATGGGTACAACCTAATGCACAAATTCGTTTTATTAAACATTAGTTTTCTTTGAAGTCAAATTAAACAAAACATGTTGTTGCTCCAGGGGCTGTGACTTCCCATAGGCGCTGTTCCGACAGAAAAATAAATAAATATATCGACTTTTGAATCAGCAGTTGCCGACAGGGCCACCCATGGCATGGTTTTCGGCCAATATGTCAGGAACTGACTGAATTTGGACTAGTTTAAAGCTGACTAGCTGTTTACATTACTATGCCTCATTGATGGGTGGTGCGTCACCTCAATCATCTATTGTTTGGGCTTGCACTTTATGTTTGTATGAAAAGGTCTTTAATAAAAATTCTGTTTGCCCAAAAAAAAATGGATTTTTTGTTATATACACTTTTTTTTCCGTTTTGGATAGACCACGGAATGGTTAAGAAAGGTCAGGCTTTTTTCTGTGTCTAGTTGAGGAAAATTTAGCACATCAGGAAGAGGAGAGGTCTTCAAAATAAGGGAATATAAAGAACATTTTACATTAAAAAGCACAACCCCCCCCCAACTATATGCTGCACTGCTAAATCATCCCATTTTAATATGAACAATTTATAAGGAATATTACAAACATAATTACAGATGACCGCACCTTGACCCAGACTGAGTAAGAGAAGCTTACCAAGCTTAATAATAGAAGTGAAAAGCTAAATATCTCCCTTACTGTAGCTATAAATAAAAGCTTAAAATAATCCGGCCAATAATGGTTTATACTTTTTCAAGGGAATAGAACGCTGCGAGAGCCCTTCTTTTAACTATTTTTAAAACATTTTGACTGTTCAGGAGTGCACCAAGACTGTCTGACCAGAGTCTCCCTCTGCAAAATGGTGAATATGTCACATTTAACAAGATCATCATTTCATCATTTAAAGAACAACAAAAAAGGGGAGCTTAAAGAGCTAAAAGCAAATCAATGACAGGAACCTGTAGCAACCAATCAGGTAGCATTTTCATCAATATGACATAATGAAAAAGATATGCTGTGGATTCCTACTTTGGATATAACTGCTAAACAGCGTGGACGGAAGAATCCTTCTGCCGGCCTATTGTATTCGGACAGCCAACACCCAACACTGTCAGAATACCCGAACAGTTACTGCAGCTGATTGCACTCAATTTTTGTCAAGCCAGCAGGGCCAATTCGGCTGTTTCCTTGTCCTGCTGACTCGGCAGAATTTGCCCCCGTTGACATCCCTCCATTGGACAAAAGTTGATCTTCCATTGATTTTTGTCGAAGGAACCAGTCTGAAAATTTCTGGCGGAACGGTGACTGCAGGGATTCAGTCAACGTTCATGAATGCTGACAGTGCCAGGTGCCCGCTGTTAGCAAGCAACGGCTACATCGGGAAATTCATCCTTCCATGGATGGGGAATCTGTTATATTTTTTTGTTCACCCCACAGCCTGTGAACAATGGGGCAAGGAGGCTCAGAATATTTTACAAAGCATTTCCATCAAAGCTAATAAGCAGCCGGCTTTGATATGACCGCCGGTTCCGACAAGCTCTCATTTTAATGACAACTGGTCCCGTGCAATAGAAAAAGTTTGGGTTAATACTGCTAGTGAATCCACCGACAATGGGCAGCCTTTACAAACTACAACAGGGCAGATACAATACAGCACTGGCCCATTTATTGAACAGTAAACTGCTGCATACAGGGAAGTCCCATAGCAAATAGAGTCACATTCAATGACAAGATTTTATCTAACAATAACTTCAAAAAAAAACAACTGTGTGGTCCAAGCACAAACTATGTACTATGTATTAATAGAAATATTAGAAATCTACCTACCAATCTAATTTTTCTCTCATTACCTGAAATGTACACATTCCAACAACAAAAGCATTTTGTGTTGCCAGAGCAAAACAAATTATTTACACAATTTTGACAAAAACATTTTACCATTCCAGTAGCCAAAATTGGTTCCACCTATAAACATATACCTGATGGAAAGAAAAAAAAATATTAACATTTCCAAAAAAAAAATAAGAGTGCACATAAATTATTGTTTTTCTTAGTCCAACTCACATATTGACACTTGCTCCATGATCAAGAATTTCGGTTAGTGTTTTCACTATTCTTTCTGTTGCCACAACAGAATGTGGTTCTCCCCAGTGATCCAGCCAGCCAGTATAAAATTCTGAATTTATCTGTAAAATAGTAAAAAAAAAAAAAAAAAGAAGGACAGTAAAATTGAGTAGCGCACCTAGGAGAAAGTTGTTTTTTGGCAGTATAAAAAAAAAAAAAAGAAGAATCACTGCCCTGTCCAATGCCAAGCCTCGAGCACCCGGGTAGATTTGGGTGCCGGCTAGGAGGTGTCCTCGCTCCAACAAAACAACACAAAGGAAAAAAAAAGTCACACAGGAAGATCCAACAGATAATACACTTTTAATCATAAGGCTGAGCATTTCCAGCATACTGTGACTCTCCGCCTAGAAGCCACCAGCTGGATTGCATTTCATCCGTTTAGAGTTTGATCATAGAGACACAGGCGGCCCCGAGTGCCCATAAGTCTACACTCAAGGATATATTTAAAAACAATATGCATAGCCATTCATCCTGCAAATTTGCATATACATTTGTTATGTGCGAATGGAGGCAAGAACACTCCACCAGGTGGAGCTAATGAGCATAGGAAAGTAGTATAAAGCTGGCCATACACCTATAGATTTTTTGCTATCAGCCTCTTGTCAGATGGAAAAAGTGCAACAGATTACTCCATCTAAATCAGAATGTTCACGTATTTTGAGAGCCAGCGGGGCTGACTAGCTTGGCCCAGTGGGAGATTCCGCCATCCACACAATTTAGCGTAGATGGGAGGAATCTGTTGCACTTTTTCCATCTGACCAAAAGGCTGATAGAAAAAAAAAATCTATAGAAAATCTATAGGTGCATGGCCAGCTTTGAGCATCATTTGAATGTCACAGCATATTTGAATATTATTGCTGACCATGTACATTAATTTATGGTTACAGTATACCCAATGTCTTTTTCCAGCCACATTACTACTACTTTAGTACTGATACTGATGTAAATAAGCGTCCTGTACTAAAGTGGCAGCAGCCGTATTCTGGTACTGTTTCAGCTGACTGTTTGCTTTCACATTTCCGGTTACCGAAACCAAAAGCAACGAGGATTTTATTACTTCCAGTTTTAGCCTGTCATTTCTCCAGCTGCTGTGGCTGGAGAGGAAGCTGACGAAGCACAATCTTTACTTCATCAGCTACTTTGGGGTCCATAGGTGACATTTAGGGGTCTAATAGACCCCTGATGTCTACATAAATTTAGTTCCCTATGTGATAGTATGTGATGCAAAGTTATGTGTAAAACAAACAAAAAAAAAAGTTAAAAAAATTAAAGTGACAAATAATAAAACATTTTAAAAAGGCAAAGAAAAAATAGTTTTAAAGCCTTCCACCACCGCATACATACGCACAAACATGTGTCGGGTGTGAAAATGACAATTGTGTCACACATGTTACATATTGTCGTGAACATTGGAGTGAGAGCAATAACTTTAGTGACATCACTCACTGTTAACACTCTCCCAGAGAGCGGCAAATCCCCGTTCACGCCATCATGTCTGTAAACGTGTGCCAAACGCAAGAAAATTGTGCGCTTTGACGCACATTCACCGTACACATCAAACACACGGAACACATCAAAAATGCCAAAAGCGCTTGCAGAGCCATTACCAGGTAATGGCACCCCCAAAAGGTTGACTAACAAAAAAAAGCAGGAAACAAAATGCCCGCAAATTAAGGGATTTCACCGCAATAAACACGGAAAGCAATGATGTGAATGGGGCCTTAAAGTTTTTAAAGCATCATCATAGGGCAATTTCAGGTACCATCGTTTTTTTGCCATTTCACTGGCACGCACACTTTTCACATGTTTGCCATTTACCCGACACAACCTCATCTATATTGTGTTTAGGCACTTAGGCATCATTCACACACAACGCAAGAGCAAAATTGTAAATGCGTATAGTCGCATATATGCACGTATGTATGCCCATAATGAATGCAATCCCAGAATGCATAATTTTTCATAGAAACTTTAATGTACTGTGCGCGCACATATGCGTATATGTGCGCAATTCCAAACCCGGACGCATCTCGGTTCCATTTTGTTTTTGCGCATCTTTATGCAGCGCAAAAATACTGCTCCATACGCAGCTATGCGCGCATCTGTGTGCAGCGTATTATATGGCAGTGTGAATGAGGCCTAAAAGGAATTTTAGTGCACACAATTTCCTAAAAAGATCGATTTAATAAACATTTGCACAAATGGGGCGTGGCCTGAACATGGCGCCGAGAGGACGTGCATATGGGGCGGGATTAGGTCCCATGTTTACCTCGGGCCTGCGGGCTCCTTGCCAATGGGGTGTTTTGGTTGTCCAACGAAGTGATATATTCTCCATATCTCACTCTGCTGGCGGCTGTGTTTAGCCTTTTTCCCCAAGTTTCAGGCGTTTCCTCTCCGTGTTGGAGTTAACCCATAGGAACGCTTGGGTTGTAATTGTTTATTGCTACGTTGTTTGTTTGTTTTTCTTTCTTTCTTTCCTGCACTAGGGTCGGACATAGCCTCACCCTCGGTGCGACTAGTGCTCTATCTGTTTCTTTCTGTTCTTCATCTCTGGTTGTTGTGTCCTTGTGTGAAGGACAGTGTCTTTGTCGAGTCTTCCTTAGTGTTTGTCTGTGCCCGGTCCTGGGCCACTGGGAATTTCTGTTCTTTGTGTTCAGTGTTTGTTTCCCCACTCTCCTGAGATTGCCGTGGATCCGTCCGCGCGGACCGAGGGAGAGTATCCCTTGGAGAGTTGGTGTGTTATTACTGTTTATCCATAAGTGTTATGTAAGAAAAAGGGAAAAGTCATGGGAGTACAGATGCAGATCCGAGAGCTGTGAGCTGTAAGCGAGCGAATTAAGGGGGCGGACCGGGCTGGAAGCTAGTGAACAAGATATTCTGAAGCTGTATACAAATGTATGACCAATGCCTGGCCGCACGGCCCAGATGTATGTACGGTTCTGTGTATGTGCTCTTATGTTTGCAGAAATAAAGAATTTAAAAAAACAAAAAATTTGCACAAATATCATGCAACATAAAAAAATTGCTACTAACATTTTTTTATTCTACAGTGCCTCTGTGTATAAATACTGTAGCTGTTTGGGGGTTTAAAGCAGTTTTCTAGCCAAAATTCCAATTTTAAAATGTGTACAAACAGTTCCGTTAGCGAAAGGGTTAAAGTGGTATTAAAGTCAAAAGGTCTTTAAGCTATTTTACATGCCGATTAAATCACTTACAATGAATGCTGCATCTTAATGTTTAACATTTTTCTTGCAGAATCATTGAGCACTGGCCCCAATATCCTGTTTTAGGGTGGCTCCTTTCCTTCTAAAGGTCCAATGGAGCCACCTCTGTGTTTATTAGTAAGCCTTTGTGTCCCCACGAACACACAGGCACAGCAAGGCAAGCCACTCCCCCTGCTCCCCATGCCTCCTTCCTTCTCTAAGCTAGTAGATGCACAGCTGCAGGAGACTGCTCTGTCTCTCTTAATCTGGTACTGGCCAGGAAGTTCAGGGAAGCCAAGCTCAGAGCGTTGGAGCCAGTTATTTGGAAACATGATGACTGTAAGTGCTTGAGCTAAAATGTAAACAAATACTTTGCTGGACAATATATCAGTTAGATCTGGGATCATCTTTTGAAAAAAAATGTGAGCGTTCAAGACTACTTTAAATGCACCATGACACAATGCATGTATCATCTCAAGCTGTTTCCATAAATAGGACAGCGGCTTCATTATGCTTCAGAATTTGTACACTCATTTTACACATATTTGTGAGCATGCGACAAATGGAGTAAGCATCAGAGCACATGACAAGAGAATATAATAATTGTGCAAAATGGGGAATCGTATGACTAATGCTTCTCGTTTCATACAAGTCTTTTGTTTTAAAGATTGCTGACACTTCTATAAGACTATGGTGTTGTTGAAATTGTGTTAATACCCAAAACATTTTTTCTTTTTGGATGGAGTGGGGGAAGGTTCAGGAACCCAGTCAGATTTTACTGCTATCTGAGGCTCTGTTAGAGAGATTTCCCTCTACTTTCTTTTCTGGGAACAACCTTTCACCAAAACAAGAAGGGAACATCTGTACCAGGGAGACTGACAACAGTACAATGTTTACAGGGATTGTAGCATTTACCTACTAAACTTAAAACATGAATGTTATGTCTGTCTGTGTTGCTCTTGGAGAGTTTGCTTTACTTTCTGTCTGTTGAAAATGTTGTCCCCAGGACTGTTAGAGGAAATCTCTCTGACCCGGATAGCAGTAAAACCTGACAGAAGCATATTTTTACTGAAGCTAGACTGGTTACTGCACATATGTGGCGCTTCCCTACCGTTCCCTTCGAGTAAGTATAGAGTTTCGCAGGTTATGTTTTTGGAAAAACTGTCTGCTATCCAAACTGGTACAATTAATAAATTTTTTAAAATCTGCGAACCGTGGATTGATTCATACATGTCCTACTCTTTTAACATGGACTCCTTGGTCCTGTAATGTCTTTGTTTTTGCTTCATTATCCTGGTTAACTCTTATGAGATATGGGCCTGCTGTGTGGAGGGACGCTCCCTCCCCACTTTTGTCCCCCCCTCCCACTCCTTTGTTCTCCCCTCCCCCAGCTCTCTTTCCTTTTCCTCTTCCCCTTCACCACTAATCCAAAAATTGAATGAATGAAAAACCTGACACGAGTTCTCATCCTTTTCCAATATCCAATGGAAAAAAAATCACCAGCACTGGTGAACGTATTTCCTTATTCAGTTTATTAAAACTCACATCACATGGGTAATACAAACCAACATTTCAAGACCACGCAGGGTACCTTCTTCAGAACTTGTTCACACCATCTCCAGACCAGATCTGAATGCGTTTCTGCAAACAGGGTTTTTTTTCATCTCTATTGGCTTTTAGGTATGTTGCAGTGTGTTCTGGTGAGTTTGGTGTGTTTACATGCGTTTTTATGTGTTCCAAACCAGAAAAAATGTGACATGCTGGACTTTTTTTTAAAGCTCTGGAACTGACCGCAGTGGTGTAAACTACGGGCAGAAAAACCATTGGAATCTATGGGGACACGTTTTTGGACCAGACAAAAAAACGTTCTGGTCTGGATCTGATCTAGAGATGGTGTGAACAAACCCTCAGGGTGACATAGTAACGTCACTGCGTGGCCCGGAAACATTGGCTTGTAACATGTTTAGGTGACATGAGTTTAATGAACTGAACAAGGAAATACGTTCATGACTGCTGGTGATTTTGCATTGAATATTTGGAAGTTTCACACTGCTTCATCCATGTAATCACTGCAAGCACCACCATCTGCACGACAAAGGTCGACAATGCTGTAAGGAGTGCAGGTGATCCACAATATCTACTCATCCTTTCCCACTCTATCCAAGGACTTAAAGAAAACAGTTTTCGCTATATATAGACTTTGTGTGTGTGTGTTGTAAAGTAGCCACCACACCAAGCTCACTCCCATGATGGAATACAATCTCAATTCAAATTAGTAAACTAAATGTGAGGCTACTTTACAACACACACACACACACAGGGACCATGGGGAAACAAAAGTAGCCACTCTCCAGAAGGAAGGACAGTGTCCGCATGAATTCAGAGATGGTTTGAGGATCTACAGCTGAGCGATACACAAATAAGCTACAGTTTTGTTAATAGTTAAAGTACTTGAATGCCTTTTTAAGATATAACTCCTGAGTTTAGTGTCACGTTAAGGTTAAGAGAGCAGCATGTTCTTTTCAAAATACAGTTCCTGTATTTATTTCCCTTATCTATGTTGCTCATTAGTTGCACTAATTCAGACTTTCTCAACAGGAAAGCATCTGCTGTTGCATATAAAACAGTACATTCTATAGTACTCATAGTCAAACATAGAGAATAGTAAGGGCCAAAATACATTCTATTTACATTCTAATTCAGTAAAATGGGCTAAACCTTACTAGAGGTGGCAGTTAAAAAGGGTCAATAATTGAAAAGTATGACTGAGTAACTTCTTGTACTTTATGTTTAAAAATATATATATTATGATAAGGCAATACAAGGATTAATTAAGCAAGAAACCTAATTGGTGACAATGGAGAATGTGGTCCCTCCACACCATCAGAGTGATCTCCAGAGTGTGGAGCTACCCACAACCAGGGCATTAATATCCCCTTCCACAGCATGGGAAACAGGGAGGGGGATGTTAATTTACATTCTGTGTGCAAGAAGAGGTTAAACTGATATTGTATCTTTTTTTAACAATTTATAAAGAGATCTTTATTTTGCAAATAAATAATAGAAAGTGCCCCTATGGCACGATTTACTGAGAATTATGGAACTTCAAAAGAGTGGGCATAGCAGATGATCTTTTCTTCCACACTCACTCTCTAAGGCTCTGTTCACACCTAGGCGTTTCGTGACGCGCGTTTTTACCGCGATTCGCGGCGACAAACGCGCGTTTCTGAGGGCTACTTGGCTGTATCCCAATGGAAACGCGCTACAAAAACGCCGCAAAGAAGCTCATGTACCTTTTCAGGCGTAGGCCGTTTTGTAGCGCGTTCAGACGGGCTGAAATACGGCAAGGTGTGAACCATACCCATAGAAAACAATGGGATTTTCATGTTTGAGCGTTTTGTAGAGCTTCGTAGAGCGTTGAACGCACTACAAAAAGTACAGGTGTGAACCAGGCCTAATTGGAAATCAACATCTAAATAAAACAGCTAGGCTTAGAGGGAGTCACCCCCCTCCGACTCATTCAGTTCTCCTAAATAATAAGCATGAGGATGGTAATACTAGTTAAATCTTTGAAGTAGAACTGAAGCCAAAAGTGTTCACATTGGAAGAGTTCCCCTTACTGCTTGTTATAGGGACAACTCTAACATTTGGGATTTTCTCTTACTTTTTTTTTTTTTAGACATAATGGTCACTTAAACAATATAGAGAGGTTACGTCAATAATAAAAAAAAAAAGAAAATACAGCACTTGACAGAGGGTCCAGCCCTTCCCACTCTATCCAAAACTAATTAGAAAGGTTTTGCCTAGAGATTCCTCCTAGACATGCATCAAAGCCAACACAATAAACCATAAAGCACCAACTACAATAGCAATTCCCACCCACTCAGACTTAAACCCTTTACATATTCAGTAGATCATACAGTATGCCCAGAACCAGGTGAAGCTTTACAAGCTGGGTGTGACATGTTGTGCCACCTAAGCCCAAATTAACGAAAAATGTATACAATTACATTCAGGGTGCTATTCTCATTATTTCACAAGTCCACAAAAATTTAATAGGGACATTTACATTGACCACCAATATAAGAGGGGCATTTATACTGAGCGCTAATGTAATGGGGGCATTGGGAGTCAGTGTAAAGGTAGCCATACACCTTACAACCATTGTACAACTTTTTGTCCCGACATCTTACTCTCGTTAAATTTTCGTTCAAACAGCCCATCATGAACAGACCAATGTAGTTTGCAATTATCGTTCCTCAGCACCACTAACTGGCCGATTTTCGTCGATCGAACAACCAAATTTTCGTTTGAGCATGTGCAATTTTCATCTTGAGATTTTTGTTGTACAAAAACGCCACTAAATCGGTCAATATTCATCCAATTAGACAAAAATTTTCTAGCCTGCTTGAAAGACGAAAATCTGCCACTTGTACAGTAATTGCGGCTGTGCACTTCCCATCAACTGGCAGATTTTCGGACGAAAAATCAGCAGATAATTGTAAGGTGTAAGGGCACCTTAAGGGTGTGAATTTGTTGGATGAATTTGAGTTGAGCTTCACATGAGGAGGGGGGTTGATAGTATCTGAGTATGAGGTTGGCTAACATTGCTGCAATAAATTGCACTCAAATAACTAAGATTAAGCAAATGTATTCTTACCAGTGGTCCACGTGGTTGGCTGAATCGCTGAACTTCAAAGGCCGCTGTTACATTGGTTCCTGAAGAAAAAAGCCAATATAAACCACAAGTAAGGATTATTTTTGTTTGTTGAAACAGTGAAGCAGGGGAAACCTTCCTATTTTTTACTATATAAAAGAAAAACGTACCGAAAATTTTGAAAAAATAAACCTTGTTTTTGTTATGTTATGAAACATTAGTACCTAATTTTTTGGTAAAATATGGGGTCACGTTGGGTAAATAGACACCAAACATGCCAAGCCTTAAAATTGCATCCGCCTACAAAATTAACAAAAATAAATAAATAGCATACCCAAAATTGGCGACACTTTAAAAGCTTTTACCACTCATCAGTTTAGGGTTTTTAATGATTGAGCTCCCTACAATTATTGCTCATACTCCGACGTTAGCGGTTATATGTAACATGTGCGTATCCATTTATGCAACTTGCAGAAAAATTGATACGTCCCCACAGTGAGAATCTTGTATTTCCTGCATCTTTGATCAGTATAAAACAGCATATTCTGATGTTAGAATAGCATGACATGGTTTAACCACTTCTGCACCTTCATATAAACAACCAGTCCACTGCCCTACTGTTCTGGGATGACAAACCTGTATGTCCTTTCGTGCCTACCTGTGTACATCATTGACACACATTTAGGGGAATTTAAAAAAAACTATTTGAAGGAGGGAGTGCAGTGAGTGGTGATATGGGATATTGAAAAAGGCCTGTTTACATGAGCGGGTTTACCTAAAGAGCAACATAAATCCACGTACAGCCACCTACTGGCTCAATACTACTGGCTCAATACTATGGGCGTCTGTACACAGCAGCATTGTATACCGGACATGGAAATATGCCTGTAATTTACGCTATATGGCCTCATGTGCCTGTTCACATGACGCCTAATACACAGAGACATGTTTTGTTTTTGTTTTTTACTAACCTGGCCCAAAATCTACAGTTGTATATAAGCCTTCAATGGATCCACATCTGACATAAGGTAGACCCGAGCCATCCGTTGTAAATAAAATCACTTCATCCCCTAAATGTTGACGGAAGAGCTTCATCAGATGTCGAAGATAATTGTAATCACAAGTAAAGTAGCTTCCATACTCATTTTCAACCTGTTAAAATAAGCATGTATTAAAAGCAGTCATAGACAATGTGTTAATAGGAGTTAGATTTAATTAAAACTAAATATCTAAATAAAACTTTATTATATGGAAATGAGAAACCTATGTTTACCTGCACGGTAATAATAGGACCCCCATTTTGATAAAGAAGGGGTTTTATCTTGGGAAGGAATACACTCATCCAGTTATCCACAGCCTGGAGATAATCTTAAAAAAATAAAAAATAAAATAAAAAAACATAATAATAGAACCCCTTCATGTTTCTTGAAAATATTAAATAAGTGATTTTAGGCTACATTAAACAAACATAATATTCTCCAAAAAAAATGACCCTCAACAGCAGCTGTGCAAAAAAATAGCCTTTCCAAAAATCACTTTTGAATCACTTGTGTACACAGATGAGAGAGGATCCATCATAGAGAAAAAACCTTTATTGAACATTTGGTTTTCCAGAGACATTGTATAATTATGTTAATTTTGCTTATGTATTTTTAAATAATTAGAATATTGCTGCTCGCGCTGAGCACTTTGTATAGAACATTAAACAAACAGCCTAAATGGTCCCTCTAATACTGTTATTTAACTCTCTGCTGTTTACTTAAAGGAGAACTATGAGGTGAGTGATTTGCAATCATTCTAATAGTTAGAGCCGACCTGTGACAATGAGACTGTCACCCTACACCTCCTCCTAGTCCCGTAGATCTATGACCTTTACGCAAGTATCCTGTCCCACCAACAACACACTATATCTGATCACTCCTCCACCAACCTTATCCAATTAGCAACTCTCCACTTCCCTCCATCTAAGTTACTACCCTAAGGTGCCCATACACCTTACGATTATCGTACGATAATCGTATGCGATCGACTTTTCGTACGACATTCGTAACGTGTGAATGTAGTGCCCGACCGATAGTACTGTACAATCGTACGACTTTTGACGGTCAAGCATGTTTGAAAACTTTGGTCGATCGTACGATGTTCGCAATGGTTGCTGGCGTTTCGTCCGTCAAAAGTCGTACACCTTACGATTATCGAACGATACTTTTCGTCCGATGATCGAACCGTCGTTCGATCATCGGACGATTTTCGTACGACGGCCCCATCCTGCCCCGATTATCACAAGGTTCAATCAGCGGTAGTTAAAAAAAAACACCTGGACGACTTGCGGTAATTGACCGCAATTATTTTAGTTTGCACATGCGCAGTGTTAAATCGTACGACTTTTGACGGACGGAAACACCACCAACCATGCGAACATCGCACGATCGACCAAAGTTTTCAAACATGCTTAACCGTCAAAAGTCGTACGGTTGTACAGTAGTATCGGTCGGGCACTCTATTCACACGTTACTATTGTTGTACGAAAAGTCGATCGCGTACGATAATCGTAAGGTGTATGGGCACCTTAAGGCTATGTTGGGGCCGGGAAAAAATGTGTTGTGTTAAACTATGTTAAGTGATCATATATGAAATGTGCATATTTTATCAGAAACTTGCATTAGGATTTTTTTTATTTTTTACCGGTGTATGTACCATGAGGTGCATGGTCATTTAAATGACCATGTCAGCACAGGGTCACGTGTATGAAAAACATACTTGCAAAACAAGACTGCATACACTTACCTTTCTAGTGGGAAATGATTAATTTTAATTTTTGTTTGGGATGTGATTTTACCCTCCAACATCTTTTCGACCTTTTATTCAAAAGCTGGATTAATAGTTTTACCGATGTATTCAAATACTTGATAAAAACAAATCCCATCCCCTTCTCTTTTGTTATTATATTCTGTTAATAGAGCAGTCTTCATACTTAAAAATAAAAAAGGCCAGACCTCTTTCTGACTGGCTGTGGGCTGCACTGTGGTCAGTAGTACAGAGACATGCCCCAGCTTAGGAGATAAGTAGGAGTAAAAAATGCCCCTACGTCAGTGGACAGAGGTAGTAAAGAATACCCTTATGTCAGTGGGAATAAAAAAAAAAGAAAGGAGATCAGTGGGGAGAATGGCGCCTTATCAGTGTAAAGGTGCCCACACACCTTACGATGATCGTACGATAATCGCAGGAAATCCCGCGATCGTACAATAATCACAAGGTGTGTGGAAGGCATGCAACCGTTTCTACTGTACGGTCGCGCGACTTTTTTGTCTTACGAACATGTTTGAAAACCAGCCGAGAATCGAACGATTTACGGCTGATTTGTGGCATGATCGTAAGATAACTGCCGCACGGGCCCGTGTGCGCAAGCGCACACTGCTCGTTCAGCATTGCGGTCATCGCAAGCCCGCCCCTAAGCGGGGCAGGCTTGCAATGATCGCAAGTACGATCTGCCTGTCCAAGATGGGCAGATCGTATGTTTTTTTAATTACCTTACAACCATCGCAAGACAAAATCTTGCGATGGTTGTAAGGTCTATGGGCACCTTCAGTGGGATTCAGAAAGCCCCCTTCCTAGTAGTGTTGTCTGTGGGAGTGGAACTAATGCTCTCATCTGGTAATTTTACTTACATATGTGTGATCATGCAAGGCCTTCTAATTGCAGCGGCCAGTTTATGGCAACTGGTGGGCCGTAGTTTGAGCATAGTGTTACGATGTAAAAAAAAAAATAATTAAGCAGCATTTACTTGATAGGTCTAAATATTCAAACATTTAGTTAAAAAAAAATAAATAAATCAGCAAAGGTTATTTTAGAAAATACATGTTTGAAATGTTGCTTTCAGAAAGTGGCTTTCAGAAACATACCATTTACAGCCAGAACTTACTAATTAAACTGTGTATGCATGGAAGTTTATTAGAAAAATCTCTTACGCTTTTAATCAGATGAATCAAATAAAAATAAACAATTACAAACACAGCATTACAAGTATGAAGCTATTGAGCTAAATAGAATGGAAAGTGGGCTAAACATTAAGAAATAAATAGAATTACAAAAGGATCTCATATAAAAAAAGACTTTTGGAAAATAATTAAGTCAAGTTTAAGAATTCAGAATACCTGGATCAGAAGACCGGAGAACAATAGACTTCTTTGTTAAAAGCCAAGGAGGTAATCCTCCCTGCAAGAAAACAAAAGAAAGTTCAGTTATACAGACAGATGAAGTCATAACATTATGACCACTGACAGATGAAGTGAATAACACTGATTATGTCGTTACAAATGCACCTGGAAGTGTGTGGGACCAAAAGTGGTTCAAGGAAAGAAAACATGATAGGGTCGTGGGTGGCCAGGGCTCATTGATGCACATGGGGAGCTAAGGATGCTCCATGTAGTCCAATCCAACAGAAGAGTAACTGTAGATCAAAATGATGAAAAAGTAGCCACAGACCAGTCAGGGTGCCCATGCTGCCCCATTTTCACCACCAAAAGCACCTACATTGGGCACATGAGCATCAGAACTGGACCACGGAGCAATGAAAAAAAAGTGGCCTGGTCTGTGAACTTAATAATCGGCTAACTAATCGATTTTGAAAATAATCGTTAGCTGCAGCTCTAGATGAATCGCATTTTCTTTTAAATCATCTGGATGGCCGGATGCTTGTGTGTCGCTTATCTAGGGAAGAGATGGCACCAGGCTGCACTACGGGAAGAAGGCAAGCCAGCAGAGGCAGTGTGATGTTTTGGGTAATGTTCTGCTGGGAAACTTTGGGTCCTGCAATTCATGTGGATGTTACTTTTACACGTACAAACTACCTAAACATTGTTGTTGACCAAGTACACCCCTTCATGGAAACAGCATACACCCGTGTACTACAAAAAAATATTTTAAGAATGGTTTGGAGGAACACAACAACAACAAGCTCGAGGTATTGACTTGTCCTCCAAATTCTTAATATCTCAATCCAAGCGAGCATCTGTGGGATGTGCTAGAAAAACAAGTCTGATCCATGGAGGCCCCACCTTGCAACTTACAGTACTTAAAGGATCTGCTACTGATGGCTTGGTCCCAGATACTACAGCATACTTTCAGAGGTCTAGTGGAGTCCATACCTCGATGGGTCAGGGCTGTTTTGGCGGCTAAAGGGGAACCTACTCAATATTAGGTGGGTGGTCATAATGTTATGGCTGATCGATGTATGTATTGATTAGTTTCCCAGCAAGGTCACTCACACATGACTTGAAATTTGTAAGCAATTCAACCAGCATTACAAAAGCTAGCCATCCAGAAGTTACATTTCAGCTGATTCGTTCTGTATCACAGAAATTCAAGATGCGGGTAGCCATGTCGGCACAACCTCCTTCAACAAAAGAACATTTTTCAATCGTCTTTTGTCACAGCAGCCAGGTGGAAAATGATTGGCTAAACTGACTGCAGCCAATCAGATGCAAGCACTGTTCGTGTATTTAGCGGCCACATGCGGAGCAGCAGCTGCTGAATACAGTAGCTGTCCGCAGAGATTCCTCTATGCGCGGTATTTAGCATGGATGGGGGAATCTAATAAATTCTCTCATACAACCCGCAGGGTATCTACCTTTACAAAAGTTAAGCTGCTAGGGGTTAACAGGCAGTAGAACAGGAAATAATCCCTTCACCTCAACACTGCCACCATTAACCCTTTCGCTGCCAAGCCCTCCGGAACATTTTTCAAATCAGCTGGCCAAGCCCTTTTTGAATTTTCTGCAATTTTTTCCTATTGATTTGATTTTCAACTGCTGCGTTGCTAGCGTTTGTAAAAGACCCCCCAAACCATATATTTTCTGAAAGCGCATGCACACCCAAGATGTTGCTAAATCAGGGATATGAAAGTATAAAGGTGCCCATACACCTTACAATTATCGTACGATAATCGTGTGCGATCGACTTGTCGTACGACAATCGTAACATGTGAATAGAGTGTCCGACCGATAGTACTGTACAATCGTACGACTTTTGACGGCCAAGCATGTTTGAAAACTTTGGTCGATCGTATGATGTTCGCATGGTTGGTGGCGTTTCCGTCCGTCAAAAGTCGTACGATTAACAAACATGCAAACGAAAATAAGTGTGGTCAATTACCGCAAGTCGTCCAGGTGTTTTTTTATAACTACCGCTGATTGAACCTTGCGATAATCGGGGCAGGATGGGGCCGTCGTACGAAAATCGTATGACGGTTCGATCATCGTAAGGTGTATGGGCACCTTAACACTTAGAGACAGGAGAGGACCTGCACCCCAGTAAGTGTAAGTGGACTAAAAATCCAATTACACATTATGAATATATATATTTTTTTATTAATACTTTTTTTTTACTTTTTTCTAAAAACTTTTCTAAAGTTTAGAAAAAAGTTTGTTAACAAGTTTGTTGTGATTTTAAACAGATATGGAGTAAAGGTCAGCTTTAAAGCATATATAAACCACAAAAAATAAATGCAATATATTGCAACTTAGCAGTCCTGTATTAATTGTTTAGCCTTTTTTTCCTTTATGTTTACCTTGTGATCCTGTGAGTAACACTTCCTGTCCTATAGTGACAATGCTCACTCAATGTACTATATTAATGAAGGAGCAGCAACTTTGTCAAACTAGGCTGCGCTCCTGAATTTGAACTACAACCTCCTTCTCTCCACATCACTATTACATAGGGATTTCTTCTTTTGTAGTTCAGAAAAGATAGCTGGGAAAATTGATTATCTAATATATCAGTTTACTGCAAAAGAGGTTATGAAGACACTGTAATCATCGCAAGATGAAACAGGTATTTTTCTGTAATTGCTGAAAATGTTCTTAGCTTTTCCATTTTTTTTTTTTTTTTCTAAGGGCTCGTCTCAACGGACATTCATGTCAAACACAGCAGTTTCTATTTGAATGTGAGCACTGCTCTGCATCAGTACACTGTGAATGAAGGGTGCCATGGTGACTCCCTGCACTCACAGTATATTCTGAGTTTTCCAGGTTGAGTGTGCAAGGGGACATCTTGTGGCGGACAAAGGGTACTGTGGGGGACAGTTTCAGGTTGAAGGCAAGTATTGCAGCACAAGCTGTCTTTATTTCCTTTGTCAGTTTACCACTTACCTCTGTACCATTTAAGGGTATTCACTGGAATTGAACTGCATACATTTTATTAAAACTGGAAAAATTATGGTGTTCTAAATCCTTGGTCCTCAACTGGTGGGTCATGACCCAAAAGTGGGTCGCAACCCCATGTTCAGTGGGTCCCTGCATGCCTTCCACTTTTCTAGGCGAGAGGCTCTTCAGCCTTCCCATAGCGCAGTCCGTTCTCGCGCCAAGCAGCCATTCAAAATATGCTGCCAAGTGCCAGCTTGAGGTGGGGTGCGCTAGGGCTATGAGGAAGCTCCATCCATAAGTGCATTGCTTACAGCTGCCTCGCGTGTGATGTAACATTCTGGCTCCTGGCACCTCTACAGGGTGTGCAAATGAGCTGTACAAGTGGATGCACATATGAATAGAGCTCCATCACGGCACAGCAGCCCACACAGGACCCCAGGCTGAGGATCCACTGAGTAAGATAGGGAGACTGGGTGGATTTAAAAAAAAAAAACACATAATTTTTTTTGGAGTGCATGCGTGTGAGAATGTCTGTCTGCGAGATTGCGTATGTGGTCGTGTGTGCCTGTCAGTGTTTTTGAGGGCCCATTCACACTAGTACAGTGCGTTAACCACACAGTTGCGTGCGATTAACGCACTGTACCACGCAATCCCACTTACATTCATTTGAATTCTATTGCCCGCATAGGAACGTGCAGTACCGCAATGCCATGCATTCCACTGCAGTGCAACTTGGGTCCCGACTTAATGACCAAGGACAAACACGGGTCCCGAGGTTACACATGTTGATAACCACCGTTCTAAATGAATGAAAAAATAAGTGTGAAATTAATCCACGCTTTTGGATATTTGTATATTCATTAAGATTGTTACCATAATTAAAAGAAAGTTGATGTATAACACTGTTGTATAATAAAGGCCTTGACCTACAACACTATCTTTAGAAAAATGTATAAAACATTTACCATATCCCATTCTGCACATATGTAGGGACCTGCTCTCAGTATCACTAACAATCCAATTTCATTAGCCATCTTCAAAAATGTTTCAATATCATGATCTCCAGAAAAATTATAGACACCAGGCTTTTGCTCATGAAAGTTCCATGGTACATACCTGGAATGACAAACAAATATGTATTAGCATGTAAAGCACCAGTATACAAGTTCTATTTACAAACCATTATACCATTCATAAATTTTTATGTCAAAATACAGATTACTGAACAGGACTTAAAGTTGCGGCATTTTGGATAAAGGGCAGTAAGGCCGAATCCACACTTCCTTGTGTTGTGGTAAGATGGCTCATCCAATGCAACGCAAGTCATAATGAACCAGCAGTAATTTTTTTTTTAACCACAGCACATCGCAATGCACAGCTGTGAACCCAAACACATGCATTGTCACGTGCTGCCTAGGTGGCCTTGGGTGTTATTCAAGATGTAGGACATCACAGAGTACCATAAAGTTATAATGGGATCTTAGGGATTTTAGGTTGTTTCAGATCATCAAACAAATTTAAATATTAGTCAAAGATAACACAAGTTATTTTTATTATTATTTTATTATTAAGGGAAAAAAAAATCCAAACACACATGGCCCTGTGTGAAAAAGTCTTTCCCTCCCCTCTGTTAAAACATAACTTAACTCTGGTTTATCACACCCGAGTTCAATTTCTCTAGCCACACCCAGGCCTGATTACTGTCACACCTGGCAATCAAGAAATCACTAAAAAAAAGACAGTGCTAGAGTTATTGCTCTCACTCATGGCGATATTTAACATGTGTAGCGCAATTGTTGTTTTTGCACATAGGTGCACCGACGCGTGTTTATGTGCGTGCATGTGGGGGGCGGGGACTTAAAAACATTTTTTGCATTTTTTAATTTTTCTTTTATGTTACTTTCATTTTTATAACTTTTAAACACTATTTTTTTTTACACTAACCCTATTGCTATTACATAGGGGGCTAACAAGCCCCCTATGTAATAGCCAATAAGGTGTGACAGGTCCTCTTTATGGAGACATTAGGGGTCTGAAAGACCCCTGATGTCACCGAGGGACCCCAAAGAAGCTGAGAAAGCAGAGATCTGCTTCCCCAGCTTCATCTCCTGGCTCTAAGAGCCGGAGACTGTGTACAGTGGCACCGGCAGTGATGTAATGCACATCAATTCTGGGTCCAGTGATCAGAGGAGAGATCAGCGGCTGGAAGCCACTGAATCTCTCTCCCATCATTGCGGGGAGACCCGCTGAGCCGCTCCTGGGAGCCGCACGGGGACAGCGGTGCCCAGGGAAGACAACGGCGGCCGCGGCACGGTACAAACGATCCGGCGGCTGTAGAGGCCGGATCGCTTGTACATTAACAGCCATCGCTGGCTGTTAAAAGCGGTACCAAGAACACAGCTGCTGCAGCAGCCGTGTTCTTGTTTTAACCACTTTAACGGGCCACCGTCTATAGACGTATTGCGGCCCGAAAGTGGTTAAAGATATGGGTAAAGGTCCACTTTAATAATTCCCTTTAAAGGAGTCACTGACCTAGAACAAGCATGCAAACAGTAAACAGTCAGGACAACTGATAAGAACATACCGTATTTTTCGCTCCATAAGACGCACTTTTTTCCCCCCAAAAGGCGGGGGAAAATGTGTGTGCGTCTTATGGATGAATCCCTATCGCCCGACGCCCGAGACATGCAGTTTCGGGCACCTGGCGTAGTTTTGTGTACATTTAGCCCTGCTAAAGCAGAACTAAATGTACAGTAGGAGCCACTGTTCGTTTAATACGAGTGATCCAATCAGATCACTCTTATTAAAACCGAGCAGCGGCGATCGAGATCACCATAGAGCCCCTAGAGCAGACGAAGAACGGACGTTCTTCGTCTGCTCTGTGTGATCACTGAGACCGTGGCGCTGTAATCACAGCGCCACCTGTCTCAGCGGTCACTAACTGCAGCTTCTGTCACAGAAGCTGTGACAGAAGCTCCGGTCTGTTCAGTGCTCCATAAGGCGTGCACCGGACCTCCCTGCGTCCTATGGTCCGGTGTGCCTTATGGAGCGCAAAATACGGTAATTATTTTCGGTCAGTAATTATTATTATCATACAGGATTTATATAGCGCCAACAGTTTGCACAGCATTTACAAAACTGAGGGAGACAATACAATTAACAATACAATTTCAGTTCAGGAGGTAGAAGGGACCTGTTTGTGAGAGCTTAAAATCTAGCAGGAATTCACTTTTCCACTTAAGGGTTCCTTTTTACCACAGACAGGAATAAAAGGGAAAATACACCCTGCTGCTACGCATTACTCACACCTTCTAACAGGGCACCAATGCCATATGCCTTTAATGGCTAGGTGCTAAGATGTTTAATTCCTGCTTTATTTATAACCAAGCATTACTCCTTCACACAAAGCACTTAGCATAAATGAACTGTCTAAAACAAACGTTTTAAAGTAAGTTCTTACGTGTAGACTGCATCCAATCCTGCCATTTTCATTTTCAGTAAGCGATCTCGCCAATAAAAGCGTGGAACACGTGAATAATGAATGCTTCCTGAAATATATCGGAATGGCTTTCCATCTTTGCGAAAACAATTCTTGTTGTTGTCTATTTCAAATGTTCTTGCAGAAATTTCCTTTAAAAAAATCAAAACGATCATTAGAATTTTTTTAACACCAAAGAATGATATTTCTACAGGGTGTTGTTTATCTTGTACATATAAATAAAAAAATAAGTTTGATTATGATTTTTGGTACTCACCGTAAAATACTTTTGGTTCCTTTCACACAGGTGGTGTCTGTTGTGATCAACAGATCCCCCGCTTGTCAAGATTTGCAATGGAGGAAAAAACTGGGCTGTATGGGCCCATGTTGGGTCTAAAGGGAGTCAGATTTAAACGTACATGTGTCTGTTTACATCAGATTACCCCTAATCCATCACAAACAGGTACTCCTTAGAAATAAAAGGACTGATGCTAACAAGTTCTCCTTTCAAATAAAAGGACTGATATCATTAACAAGTACTCCTTATAAAAGGAACGATATGGTTAACAAGTACTCCATATAAATAAGAGAACCAATGTTGTTAAAGAGGAACTTTACCCATATCTTTGTAATGACAACAAATACATCTGTAGAAATGTTTAGTAATAACAATCTACAAAACACATACTTATACAAATTGCAGGCTTTTTATTCTTTGCATACCTTATTTTTAGAGGTGCACCGAACAGAAAATTGTAAATCCGAAACCGAAATTAAAATAAAAAATGTCAGGCCAAAACCCAAAAAATTTTTTTCTTTTTCAAATGTTTTAAATATTTTATTTTTATTTATTTTATTTTTTTTACTTCATTTATTCATTTTTATTGAATATTTTTTATTTTTTTACTTTATTGTTGGGGGCTTCTGGGAAATTTGGGGGGTCTAAACAAACCTCTGATATTTCACTTTTAAAATAAAAAAAAAAAAGAGATTGAGGGATCTGTGTCCTCAATCTCTTTTTGTGCAGTCCCTGTTATAAATGAACAGGAATCCAGTCTATACTAAGTGTTCCCGTTCATTCATTAACTTGTGGACATAGTATGTTTACTGTGTCCCCAATCATGAATGAACAGGAAGTGATGTAGATCACTTCCCATTCATTCATAATTGGGGACACAGTAAACATATTTTGTCCTCAATTATTTACAAACACTTAGCGATCACTGATCGCTGAGTGTTTGTACCCGCTCTCCATCCTGACAGCTGTCACAGGAGGCAGGGTGGTGTGGGAGGAGAGCTCAGCCTCTTTTGACAGCTGTCTCCGCCCACACCACCGCTCTCCTGATCTGTGACAGGAGGCTGAGCGTTGGGGGGAGGAGAGATGCCAGCTGCTCACAGCGCTATACTCCCACACTGCTTGGCCTCTTGTGACAGTTTCTCTCGTCTCCGCTGGGACATAGAGCAGCACCCAGCGGGGAGGAGAAAGCAGGGATGCACTTTTTGCCAAAAGTGACAATTTCGGCTATTTATGTTGCGGTGGCTGAAATTTCGGTGCATCCCTACTTATTTTTCTTTTTTTCCCAGTCTTCTAACAGTGGCTATTTTTACAAAGGGCAGATAATATATCTCTCTTTACTTCCCCGAACTCTGGCACATGTGACTAGGGCATGTGATCATGTACATAATCTCAGGGGAGGAAAATACCTTTCGCTAAGATCTCTAGAGAATACAGATGAGATTTCCCAGCAATGTTCTGCTACTATAATCTTCCCAGGTTGCAACGCTTGGGCACATTACATAACTAATACCCAAAAGCACCAGGGAGTGGAAGAACAATAATTGTAACGCCCCGCTGAGGTGGATCGCCAAAGGGCAAAGAGGGCTGACATTTCACTCTCAGGGGCAAATCCTTAGCCAGTGAAGGGACATGTGATCAAGAAGTTGGGCGCCAGTCACTTTATGTGCCTTTTTAAATGCTTTAATGCAGAACAAACTGGTAGAGAGGGTATAGGGCTCCAGACATCCATGGCAAAAATAGAACAGACTCTCTAATCTTTTCAGACTTCCACAGTGCAGAATTGTTAGAACAGGCTGACACTGGGCAAAAGAACAACAGCTGAACAGGGATAGGCATGAGATCCTCCATGGGAGAGACACCAGACTTGACCCAGAAATCCATATCAGCTCCTGGTACCTCCAGTAGTCATAAGGTTCTCCTCTCCAGACCTCTCCAGGATCCCGATGTGGCCTCCACAAAGCTTGAGGCATAGACAGCATTTCCATTACTGAGCATTTCACACACTGGCTAAGCCCGGGGCGGACTGGGCTAAGCCCGGGGCGGACTGGGCTAAGCACATGGCAATTTCCCTGAGTATTTATGCACGCCCCTAACATGCACCACTGGCCATGAAACCCCCAGTGATTGGATGGTGAGGCACAAACACTCAAGATGTTTCCTCATTGGCTGCCCCACACACTCAAGTAGGAGCAAGCATAAACAAACAATAACAGAACACCCGGAATTAACCAAATAATAGCCAACTTTAAATCAGCTAGACTGATTTCAGCTCCTGCAATGCTACATTTCTACATGTAGTAGTGCTCATGTAGTAGTGTAGGGGCTATACTAGTAAAAGAAAAACATATTTTTTTTAAAGTATTGAATGTAAGATGATTTCATATCAGTATGCAGAGCTTCATACCAATGTGATGTATAGTTTAAGAGGGTAAAAGTCCAAGCAAGGAGTACTTGTTAATAAAAAGACCAATGTTGTTAACAAGTACTCAAAAATAAAAAAAAGGACCGATATAGTCAATGAGTACTCCTTATAATTATAAAAACACCAATGCTTTAAGGCTGGGTTCACACCTGGGTGTTCCTAATAGGCACGTTTTTGACCTTGTGTTTGAAGCACGTTTTTTTTTTTGTCCAATGAAACGCTCGTTTGACGCATTTTGTAACCTCCCTGGCGGTATGATTTTTTAAAAAATGTTTTCTGTTTCTCGTATTTTATTCTTTTAACTTTTAAACTTCCCGCCGGTTCCGCCCCCTGTGACGCGGACGCTCGCAAGAGACGGAACCCGGAAGCCAGCAACGGCCGGAGGACCCAGCGGGGATCGTGGACAAGGTAAGACCTACACTGTATTCCCGAGTGTGGCTCGGGGGTTACCGCTTTGGTACAGCAAATTAACCCCGAGCCACACTCGGGAATACCAATGGATACGCGCTGAAATCTGCCCATACGCGCGAAAAAGAAGCTCAAGTACTTTTTCACACATAGGGCGTTTTTAAGCGCGACAAATCGGGCTGAAATACGCCCAGGTGGGAACCATGCCCATAGGAATAGGATTTTGCTTCTTGAGCGTTTTTCAGCGCTTCGATCAGCGCTGAAAAAAGCCCAGGTGTGAACCCAGCCTTAAAAGGAGAATTATGAGGTGAGTGCTTTTCACTCAGCCTCATAATCTGAGCCGACCTGTGACAATGAAACTGTCACAGGTCGGTTCAGTAGATCGGGAAGTGAGCGAACACATACCGGCGCTCGCTCACTTCTCGATCCTGTCACTGCAGAGAGCCGTGACAGGGGAGTGACTGGATTCTCCCCTCCCCTGTCCGATCGTCGGAACGGACGGGGGAGGGGGTGGGTACAGCTGGCTCTGCCTCCAGATAGGCAGAGCCAGCTGTCACTCACGCAGCTGGGCGGATCCAGACATAATTGTCAGGATCCGTAACAGCTGCGGCGTCTCAGTATACCGCAAGCTGCAGCTCGCGGTATACTGAGCTTTGGGTAACGGGGGGACGCTAGTTTGTGTCCTCCCGTTACCCTTCAAAGAACTATGGGGGAAAGCCCTGACCCCATAGTTCTCCTTTAACAAGCACTCCTTATAAAAAGGAGCAATATTGTAAATAAGTACTCCTTATAAATAAAAGGACCGATGTTGTTAATAAGTACTCATTATGAATTAAAGACTCTTCATTAACAAGACTTCCTCAGGTCTTCCAGTATATCACAACAATGCAATAACACTCCTGAGGACAAGTATAGGTAGATTGTGCAGTTCTAAATAAATGTAAACGTACATTTCCGTGAAGCTATAGCCTAACTCCTGCACCTGAAACCAATACTGATCCCCGATGTAAAACACGGAAGCTCTACAAGATACAGCAGTGGAATCAGTGTATGTATCAAAACTTACTATGCATTGTCCAAGAAGCAGCAGCAAGACAGCTGAGTGAAGCCACATGATCAATCCGATATCCCCCAATCAGTTCCGGGAGATCAGTACATCACACTTCTAGTATATACACGGCACTTACAGTCCAGAGATGCGGTAGTGATCAGGTGTCACCCGGCAGGCGATCATGTGACCGCACCCCGGTCTGCAGGGAGTGGCTGAGCGTCCGACTCAAACACGGAACTAGCGATGGCTGGTGATTGTTTACAGCCAAACATGTACCCGTCTGCAGGATGTTGTCATTTGTAGTAACATGAAAAGAACCTAGGGTGAATGTTAACAGATTGGCTGGTCACACTGGGCTGTCATTTCTTCTAGCGTGATCTTGTATGCAGTGTTGCAGTTCGGAAATTACTATTTCATAATATATATAATCAATGTATACGTAGAAATATTGTTTATAATGGGATTAAGACAGGACACAAGTGCTTACAAACCAGGGGTGAACTGGGTGCACGCCAATCCCAGGCTCATCTTTACTCATCTGTAGTGATGTGTGGGGGTTTGGTGTGAATACAGTTCCTCCAGACCATGTAGAACTGTGACTGACCGACCCGGTGTTCTATCAAATGCTCCAACTCGTCGAAATCTCCAATTACCTCACTGCCAGTTACTTGCAAGTTGGAGAATTCGACCAGACGACTTAAACTGCAAAACACAAAGACTGACGGAGGTCTGTGCAGCTGCATTTTAACAATATTCAATCGGTGGCAAACTCGACAAGTATTCTGAAAACGCTATGCGTGCATGCGCAGCGCAACTGTACAGAGCTCCAGTCTTTCTGAGCACCAGAAGTGAGGTAGTTGGAGAGCTTGATGAGTTGGAGCTTTCGATAGAACTCCGGCTCCCAGCCCAATCAGTTGCGGCAGGGGCATTCCTAGCCTTACAGCTACACCTCACAAAGGGGAGGGGGTGGGTGTCAGTAGAAGTTTTGCATGGGCTTGAACAGAACCCTTGCCAGCTGCTAAACCCCTCCCCAAAAAACATGTTTACAGCTTATGAGCATATTGCCCCATGCGAGCAAAGGGCAGCCTATTAATTTCAATTTGCCCACTGCGTTTGCAATGCCATTAACAAGTAATGGTGCTGCCTATGCTTTTGTGCTCATTCACATGCATGGCAAACTGTGAATGTGGCCTTACGCACCTTATGCCCAGCACTGCAATACTTCTATTCCACCTTGTTTTTTCAATACGAAAACACTGAGGACATGCCTGTAAAGAGCATGTCACCATGGTGCCTTGTATTTACTGTGTATTCATGGAAAGAGTGGTGCTGACATCAACATGCCAGTGCTACTCGCTGCATTTCCCAGAACCGCTCACTAATGGAGAAAGAGGGAAAGAACTTAACACACACGTAACATGTCAGGAGTGACCTGGCAGTGAATGTGCGTGATGATATAGCACAGGAGAGAGGGGATAAGGCTGAATTGCTATGGATAGAAATAAAAATGAATGCAAAAAAAAAGAGAAATTACTGGTGGGGATATGCTACAGGCATCCGAATGTTGGGGAGGAGCAAGAGGCAGGGGCGTACGTACCACGAGGCAGGGGTGTATCTACTGCAAGGCAAACTAGGCATTTGCCTAGGGTGGCACTTTCCAGGGGGGCGCCAAAAAAACAGGTAAGAGAAAAAAAAGTATATATATTATACAATATTCATAAATTACTGCCAGTACTCCTGGACCTTGTGCTTCTTTGACTGGTAGACCAACTTGTCCACTAATGCTGCCTACTGCTACATATATGCCGGCTGCATCTCCTTCCACTTCCTGGTCACCGTGCTGGGCAATGTATTGGTGTGTGTGACTTTCGTCCGGTTGCATTGGCAGTTCGTGCGCCGGACCTCCCTGGGAAACCGGCACCCAAATCTCTTACTTCAGGCAGCGGAGGAGCTTCCGCAAGACCCCAGGGCTGAGATCCAGATGGTCATCATGCTCATCGGCACCTCTGTGGTGGTGAGTCCGGGGAAGTGCAGCTTATAAGCTCCGTGCAGGGTTATGTATCTAGAACGGGGCAAGCTACAGCGGCCGAGGCAGAAGATGGGTAACTGCAGAAATAGACAGCCCAGCATATTAAGGCAGAAGATCGGTGTTGCAGCTGCAGAACTAGAGACTAGCACAATCATGGCAGGGCAGGAGGGAATGGTTATTGTAGCTGCAAAACTAGGGAGCCCATCAAGTCAGAAATGGAGAAGGTGGCTATTGCAAAGGTAGAACTAGAGCGTCCCGCTACGTTGATAGAGCAACCTGTCAGAACCCTGCGCAATGTATCCTGCGACTGACAGGTTATTCAAAATGTAATAAACAGGAAGGGGTGGGACTAATTTAGATTAGGGATGGGAGGGTGCTTGGGTTTAGTCTTGCCTAGGGCAGCACAAAATCAAAATACACCACTGCCACAAGGCATTTGCCTCGAGCAGCCCTTTCCAGGGGGGCGGCAGAATGCCAGTGAGGCAGTCAGCGGAAATAGCCAAAGGAGCCCCTGACTGCCGCACTGGTTTTTGAAGGCATCGTTCTCCGTAAGGAGGAAGTGGCTGGGGGCGGGGACAGCCTCCTGCAGTCAGTCGGCCTAAGCGGTGGGCGTGGCCGGCGTCCTGGGGATGGGCATGGCCAAGGATTCAGGTCGGCCCGGCGGAGGTGTGATGGCTCCAGCGGTGGACAGGCCGGAGACTGTGGAGCTCCGAGCTCCCCGTTGGAGTGGTGTGCCGTGTCTGTGAGTACCTGGACACAGCTACAGAGATCCCTGCGGTCTACTGTATATACTAAATATATATATCTATATATATATATAGACACATATATATATATATACTGTATATATAGGGATGCACCGATACCGATTAGATTGGGGAGGGGGGGCCCAAGTTTACACTTGCCTAGGGCAGCACAAATGGGAAGAGGCTAAACTATTGTCACAGATAGAAGTAGAGGGAAGGCAAGGCAAGGCAATGTCATAATTATGGGGGACTTTAATTATTATTAGAAACAGCTAACTCAAGAAGAGCCCATCACTTCTTGAACACTCTCCAGGATAATTTTATGGGACAATAAGTGGAATTACCCACTAGGAAAAATGCACTAGTGGATTTATTAATTACTAACAACTCAGAGCTAATTGCAGATGTGGAAATTGGGGCGCACCTAGGGAGCAGTGACCATGGAATGATAACGTTCATAGTTAATTCCAGGAAATGCAGACATGTCAGAAAGACACAAACACTCAATTTTAGGAAGGCTAACTTTAATAAGCTGAGAAACCTACTAGGCGACATAAATTGGGATGCAATCTTCCTGAATACGAACTCTGAAGAAAAATGGGATAGTTTCAAGGAAATCTTAAATAGAATTGGCCAGTGCATTCCGTTTAGCAATAAATAAAAAAACGTGAAAGTTAAACCAGGGTGGTTAACCACCTCCCATCCATGGCCGTTCCTGAACGGCCGGACGGAAGCCATATAGGAGCGGGAGGGCGTCTTTAGACTCCCTGCCCCTCCTCCCACTCGTGCGCGGCGCCCAACGCGCACATGAGTGGGGAAACTGTCAGCAATGTAAATTCAAGTATCGGGCAACTCTAGAGACGCCCGATTGCTTGTAGTAGCTGCGGGTATTCGCCCCTGCTGCCGCTGCCAGTCCCAAGATCCGCTGCGCTCGGTGCGGCTGGGACCGACACAGCAAAGTTGTCAGTGGAGATTTATTTTTGTGCGTATTTCCCTGTGTGTGTATTTCTCTTTCGGCTAATTGCTATGTGTGTGTCTTTCTGTGTATTTCTGTTTGCCAGAATTTCTCTGTGTGCTTATTTCTGTGTGTGTACTTCTGTTTGTGCGTATTTCTGTGTGTGAGTGAAGGTGTGAATCTGTTGGTCCTCTATGATTAAAATTAAAACCTGTGGTGAAAAAAAACACACACATATACTGACACTGCACATATACACATGTAAACATGCAGATATGACACACACACAAACATTAACACACATAACCACACCACTCACAGAAGTGGAAGATCACAGCAGAGGCAGAAGTGGAAGGTCTCAGCAGGGGTGATGTGTGGGCTGGCGCTGTACACAGGTTGCCGTTGTGGTTTCCCAGAAGGCTGCTGTGAGGTCCCCAGCAAGCGTGCGAGTATACGGCAGACAAAACTATTAGAAAATTTAAAGTGCCATGCCTCCTCCAATGATGGGGGGGGGGGGTTGTTGGATCTCACTGGGTGTCGGGTAGGTCCGCCCCTGCCACCAGAGGTGCCGCTGCTCTCCTGCCTGCCGCTCCGGGCGAAAGGGACAGCTACTGTGGGCCCCTGTAAATGATGGGGCCCAGGGCAGTTGCCCTTTTTGCCCTGCGCTAAAGACGAACCCTGTAAACATGTTAAACTTATTTAAAGTGTAATTTGCCCCAGTATGTGTATGTTTGCATGTGAGGTAGGGAGATTAGATTGTATGCTACTTGAGTGAAGGGACTGATATGAATGTGCAATGTGCAAAAATATGTAAATGTTGGCATTATATAAAAACTTGTAATAAATAAATATGTAAGCTGCTCAAAAAAGCCAATATGTGTAAACACAAGGCATGTGAAATGCAAGAAGGAGGGTTGGGGTGCTGGTGGTGATAGGTGACCATAGGCTGCTCATCCTTCCACAACAAAAGGAAAGGGCAGGCAGCAGCAAATGGAGGAGGAAATCTTCCTTCAACATTCAAACATATGAAAGAGGGAGTACGGAGGCTGTCATAGACTGAAGGTTGTGTTATGTTTGTGGCAGGTTGCAGAAGAATCAGACCACTTGTTGTCTGTTGTATCAGGTAAGTTGTTGGGCATAACACGCTGAATAAGTGAAATGAATAGCAGAAGTGCTACTGGTACAGCTGTAGAAGGGACATACACACCACTGAATCAAACCTGACAAAGAACTGCTGCAGCATGTCTATCACAAAAATGATGTGATCACTACTGTGATCAGTAACAACCTCCCCATGCCAGGTTTTTGCTGGAGCGGAATAAGAAAATGTCCCCAAACTCCCACATGACTAGGACCTATATAACCGCTTGGCACTTCCACTGCTTCCATACCAAATAGCAATAACAGCTCTTGTCCTGAGCATGTCCTGTTTACATTTTCCCACCTACCATTACTATTT